CTCAGGTGATCTGCCCACCTCAGCCTCCCAAAGTGCAGGAATTACTGATGTGAGCCACTGCACCCAGATTATGGCATTTTCTTAACCTTCGTATTGATAGCTTGCAATTAGGTGGGAATATTCATAAGTGTCTAGTAAAGCTACCAAGATGATCTTTTTAATCTGTGAGAATCCTCTACTGAGTCCTAGGGTAATAATATACAAAGCCACTAAGAAATGACTCAAAGCTAAAAATCAAGGACAAGAGAAAATTTAAATAAAAAGATTATAGCTTATAAAGGTAGCAATAATATTAGGACCTAGAATTTTGCTCTTTTAATTACTATGCTTCTTTTGCCAAAGCTCTAGACACAATTTTGAAATAAAACGTTTATATAAGAACCAGAGGTAAAGAGGATGGCAATTTTTTACAATGTGGTCAGCCACCAAAGCAAGAATTAAATTAGAAATGCAAAATTCAAATACAAGTCAACCTAAAAATATGTAATTTTTTCCGTAACAATTTCTCCACTTTTTCACTGCTATAAATATAATCAAGAAAAAAGTTAATATCCACAGTAGTACACATACTTCTGTTCTATTAACTGAAAATATTCCATGTAAATAATCTAATTTCCAACAAATCAGCCAAGATACTGAGTATAACATTCTCCTTTCTATATCAGAAGGATAAAATATTAGATATTTATCCATATCTGTCAGCAAGAATTAAATACACTAGGTCTAAGACTTCTCACACAATGTTTTAAAAAATCCACATCAATAAAAAAAAATTCATAAATGTATGGTTTATATTTAAGTGTGGATTATACAACCAAGGAAGAGAAATGACGGAACAGAGTTCCAAGACCTGAGATCTGTGCTCTCCTCAGTAACTAATTAGCTTTAAGTTTTTAGGTAAAACTGAAAACATCTTGGGCCTCAGTTTCTTCAATCTACAAAATGAGGCGGTCAAATTACATGATCTCTAAAGCTGCGTCAGTTGAACTGTATGGAAAAGCAAATAGTTGTCAATGCCTATAATACATTATACTACAAAAAGTGTGACTCTTTGAGTTGATATCAAACAAGACAATATAAAAAAAAAAAACCTTCTCCCTAAATTTGGAAGTATATTTCTTACCCATCTAATCTCCAAGTTTATACCTATGATCAAACAAAACCAGTACTAAGATTCACTGAAATCTCACCTACTTGTTAGTTATTTTTCTATAATATTTAAGTCGAGGAAGTGCCTCCACTGGGAAAATGCAGCATGCCTAATATAATTACTCTTTTAAAAAAAATTAATGAACATTTAGCCAGGCATTGTGATAAGTCCTAAAGATGTAATGAAGAACAGGATAAGAACAGATCTTTCCTAGTAACATTTACAGACGAATCAAACAGAAGCAAATGGGGAATTTCAGTACAATGGGGCAAAGGCCAAGAAAAAAAAAAAAAAAACTATAGCTTTATACTGTCAAAAAAGTATATAAATTCACCTTTTTGTCTCTTAAGGGAATAAATAATACTGGATCCTGGAATTAAATATGTTCCATGAACAACAGTGCACTCAGGATCCTGTCTAATGTGGAGGCACAGCTAAGACCAGCTTCTCTTTATTTTCTATTGCAAAACAGTAATTTAACATGTGGGCTCAACAATGATTCTCTCTAGTCTGTGGGTCCCACCTGAGAGTGCCGGCCTGCTCTAGATGTGACATGTTGTCCCTACTGTCTCAATGTGAATATCTTTGCCACATCTCATTTCTTGAACAAAAACTGTGATGTTTGTCTTTGTCCTTGCTTCTCTTGGGGGCTTCCTGTCCAAACAGAAGTTTCTAACTATCCATCTCTCCGGTGGAAACTTTCAATACTGCTATGAATTTGCCTATCTGGGACTTTGCATGTTCATTTATTCAGATACTAATCCCTGACTAGAGTCTTCTACTTTGACTAGAAAATCCTAGAAATCTCTTTCTCCATCACCCTGGAATATAACATCTCTCATCATGTGCATGCTGTCAACAAAATTACTCCAATCGGTCCTTTCCTTTGAATGTTTAAACAGTTTTCTTAATTCAGACTCTCACCCTGTCTCACCATATGGCAAAAGCTTCTTAACTGGCCTTGCTGCCTCCAGTCTTCCCAACTCCAAACTACCTTTCACCTCACTACCAAAATGATGCTTCCAAAACATAAATATAAGCATGCCACTCTCTTGTTCAAAACTCCTTTGTGATTCTCCATGCCACATAGGTCTGAATGCAGGATCCTCAAAATGACAAACAATGCTCTGCTGGAGGAACCTAACCCCTCTGTCTGGAGCCCCATCCCTTGACATTCTCTATGTCATAGGTTCACATTTTATGATTGCCAAATCATGTCAGCTTTTTTGCATTCATCAAACTGCTTCTCTACCAAACCTTTCCTAGAACTTTGTTCTTTGCATGCTTGTTCTTTGCTCTTGACCTGGCTGGTGTTGATATTCACCAGGGACATCTGCCTCCATGGCAGCTTGTGCCACTTCTAATTATAGCTCTGACTTAAAAGACTGAAATGATCACATATGTGACTGTCTTTCCTAAAGACCAGGACCATGTCTTGTTCATTTTTAATGCCCACGGCATGTAACAGCATCTGAGACATAGTAGTTTCTCAGTAAATTACATTAAGCTGAAGAAAATTTGGCCTTACAATGCCTTGTCAGAACTTATTAGAAAAACATATCCCTAATCTGTGGAAACTGCTTACCTGGCATTCCTTAATAACAATGTGATGATTAACACTGAGTGCCAAATTGATTAGATTGAAGGATACAAAGTATTGATCGTGAGCGTGTCTGTGAGGATGCCGCCAAAGGAGATTAACATTTGAGTCAGTGGGCTGGGAAAGGCAGACCCACCCTTAACCTGGGTGGGCATAAGATAATCAGCTGCCAGCATGGCTAAAATATAAGCAGGCAGGAAAAATGCAAAAAGAGAGACTGATGGAGCCTCCCAACCTACATGTTTCTCCCATGCTGGATCCTTCCTCCCCTCGAACATTGGACTCCAAGTTCTTCAGTTTTGTAACTTGGACTGGCTCCCCTTGCTCCTCAGCCTACAGATGGCCTATTGTGGGACCCTGTGACTGTGTGAAGAAATAGTTAATAAACTCCCCTTTATAAATATATCTATTCCATTCATTCTGTCCCTCTAGAGAACCCTGACTAATACAGACCATCTCAACCCTTTCTTCCTGTAATTTCTTATTAGTACCATTCATTAGTTATTTTACCTGTAAGTATAGTCCAACTCTTAGTTAAACTTCATATTTTTATTATGCCACCAGTGCCAATAAAGCAGCTGTGATGCAATCTCCACCCAATCCTTGTTTTCTAGAATTAACACTAGCAGAACAAATTCATTCGGCAGATTTATGAAAACAATTACTGAATGCCCTCAGAGGTCCTTCTAATACTGCAAGACGTCAGAATGGACTATCTGAAGAGCAATTCTACTTTCCATATAGTTTTTTGTCCTCTGATTCCAGATCTTATCTTCAATACTTATAGAGCTGTTCAGTCATAGTTCATGGGAATTACAGTATTGCAACCCATCAATAACCTAAGCCATCTTTCTAGCAAATAGATTCAATTCCCCCTTAGACAGTTGGTCAGCATTGTATTTTTTATCACAACCTGTTTACACTGTAGAAGGAATAGTTGTCTCATGCAGTCTTAGAACTGGTCTGATCAGAAGTTCAATCCCATTAAATGATAAGGGAAAACTACTCACTAGCTCCCAAATTAAAGAGCTATGATTAAGAGTCATCTCTGGCTCTCATAATTTAACTGAACTACGGCAGTGAAAGCTTTCTGTTCAGAAATGATAAAGATTTTAACTTGAAAGAAAATTCTAAGTACATTGATTGCTTTTGTTGTCAGAATTGTGAAGTTGAGAAAAAGAAAAAAGAGAAATGCAATATCAATGCACAACCAAAGTTTCTGGTCAAAACATTCTGAGATAGCAAAACATGTATATTCTAAATTCCCTATTCAGGTGGCATAAATATAAATTTGCATTTGTTTCTATCAAAAATGGCTAGAAATGCAAAGGTTCACCGTTTTTAAAGCAGTAGAATAAAATTCTAATGTTCAGTCAGTATACTTTTATTTTCTTGTTAAGAATGCTTTGTTAAGCCGGGCGCGGTGGCTCAAGCCTGTAATCCCAGCACTTTGGGAGGCCGAGGCGGGTGGATCACGAGGTCAAGAGATCGAGACCAGCCTGGTCAACATGGTGAAACCCCGTCTCTACTAAAAATACAAAAAAAATCAGCTGGGCATGGTGGCGCATGCCTGTAATCCCAGCTACTCAAGAGGCTGAGGCAGGAGAATTGCCTGAACCCAGGAGGCGGAGGTTGTGGTGAGCCGAGATCGCGCCATTGCACTCCAGCCTGGGTAACAAGAGCAAAAACTCCGTCTCAAAAAAAAAAAAAAAAAAAGAATGCTTTGTTTTAGGAGGCTTCTCTAATGCACAGTTGACCTTCAAAGGTAAACCTTATCTTTCTATCATCTCCCATCCATTTCTTACTCACCAATCAGAGGGTATTACATGTGGTTTTACTCAAATATTCTCATCTTCATGCCATTGTTCTACCCATAACTAACTAACTGGAGAACTACAAATTTTTGTAAGACCAAGTTTAAATATTGCTTTTTTCTAGACACTGTCTATGACATGCTGGCAGCATCATACCTTTCTCCCAGCACAAACAACAGAATTAGCTCTTCCTTCTTCTGTGTTTCTTTGTCAATGTTCACCTTATTCTCTAACTCTATGCCTACATACTTAGCTTTTAAACATAAAAATATAAAACATGGAGGTTGCGTAAATGAACTGCAGTGATCTCTTTCCTTACAACTAAGTATTACATCCCCATATGCTCAGTTATATGACAAAATAAATAGCTAAACCAAATAGGATAGCTTAAAGATCATAAATATTATAATAACTTTAGGATTCAAAGATTAATTACCTTGCTTTCTGCTAACCAGCGATGTGGGTCATAATGTATATCAGGACCAGATGAAAAAACCTACAAAAGAGAAAAGAGTCTATTAGAAACATATTTTTTCTCTGACATAAACATACATAAATGAAATTCTTCACCACAGCATCCAAAAGTTTAGTCCCCCAATTTAAGGATTAAAAAAAACAAAAGTTTGCCCCAAGTACACAATCAGTTCCAAACCACTAGTCATTTATGTGACTCTTTATGTATGTAGTCATTGGTTTATGTATTAGCAATAATATTTTGACGAAAAGATCAACTATCAAGTGCTATCATTTCTAGGATCTGCGGAAGCTGATTCTATGGACTTCCATACGGTAATCACCTTCAATTAAAGTCAGTTTACTTCATGTTTGTTTCTTTTCCTCAGTCTTTTTCTACATAATGTATTTCATAAAAGGTTAGACGTGATTATATAGAAACAATTCGTTCTCTCACTTATCCTTCTTTAATACTAAAAGAGACATTTTGTCTCCTCAGTGGTGTCAATAGACAGAAACTCACTGACATGACTTCACACGAACATTGCTTTGTATTTCAAAATAATAACAAAATGTTACAATAATAGGTCATCTACACTAGCTGCCTTGACTTCCTTCACGCCAATTCACTTATAAATTCCCTTGCATCTGGCTTTGTCTTATTTCTAAAGTACAACTGTATTCAAAGTTGACAATGACTTTATAATTGCAAATACAAAAGTTTTTTCTCAGTTTGTACTTTTTTTGAACTCTGCACTACAAATAATATTTTTGAAGACCTCTTTCTCAAATTTGCCTGTTTAAAAATATCCTATTCCTCTACAAACAAAATGTCTATTCCTTTTCTCAAAAACTTCTATACCTCCTGAGCTGTGTGCACACTGCTTCTTTGTCAGGAATATTGTTAACTCATTCAGACAAATGCTGAAAGCATACTGACTGCCTACCACATATGACACACATGAATATTATATTCTTTTATTTTTTGAGTCATAGTATCGCTCTGTTGCCCAGGCTAGATTGCAGTGGTGAGATCTTGGCTCACTGCAACCTCTGACTCCCGAGTTCAAGTGATTCTCCTGCCTCAGCCTCTAGAGTAGCTGGGATTACAGGCACATACCACCAGATCTGGCTAATTTTTATATTCTTAGTAGAGATGGGGTTTCATCATGTTGGCCAGGCTGGTCTCGAACTCTTGACCTCATGAACCACCTGCCTTGGCCTCCCAAAGTTCTGGGATTACAGGTGAAATCCAACATGCCTGGCGAATATTGTATCCTTATATCCAGTTTTCCCTCATCCACCTTTCTCTCTATCTAAGTCTCACCCAATCCTCATGTCCTCCCTGCCTCTTCAATGAAATTTTCCCTAATCAACCTAGTTCACAGTATTTTCTTCCTCTTCCAACTCTCTGTTGTGTTGCTGAATATTTGCAAACATCCACTTAATATTCATTATAATATACTTTATTTTCTTTTTCATTCACGTATGTCATACATGCCAATTAAATCTTCTGTGGCCTAAGATATTAATGTTTAATATCAAAGTAAAAGATAACTGGATATAAGTACAAGGAATGTTCATATGTTATTATTTATTTGCTTTACAGATTTATCTATAGCTTCATGTTTAAGAAGACAGCCTTAACCATTTAATAAATGGTGAATTTTCAGCACAGTGTCTGGCATAGAGAACACAATACACCACTGTTACTGCGTATCAAGATGTCACTATCAATAAATAGGCTTCAATGTCTATTATAAGGGCACTATAACAGGCATCTGTCTTTAAAAATATAAAGAAAGATAAGCCATATGTATTTGTGAACATATTACAAAAATAGGCACTACAAAATAATGACAGGCAACATTAATTGAGTATCTACTAAGTGCAAGATATGTGACACTATAATATGTACCTTCTGGCAGGGTGCAGTGGCTCACTCCTGTAATCCCAGCACTTTGGGAAGTCAAGGGGGGTGGATCACGAGGTCAGGAGATAGAGACCATCCTGGCCAACATAGTGAAATTCCATCTCTACTAAAAATACAAAAATTTGCCAGGTATGGTGGTGGGTGCATGTAAAAATCCCAGCTATTCAGGAGGCTGAGGCAGGAGAATCACTTGAGCCTGGAAGGCAAAGTGCAGTGAGCCAAGATCACACCACTGAATGTTAGCCTGGAGGCAGAGTGAGACTCCATCTCAAAAAAATATACATATATATATATGCACCTTCTATATCTTATCTTACTTTAGCTTCTCAATGAGTGAACTTATAATTGAGGACATGGGCCTAGAGCGATGGCTCACACCTGTAATCCCAGCACTCTGGGAGGCCGAGGCAAGCGGATCACCTGGGATCGGGAGTTGAAGATTAGCCTGACCAACATGAAGAAACCCTGTCTCTACTAAAAATACAAAAATAGCTGGGCATGGTGGCACATGTCTGTAATTCCAGCTACTCAGGAGGCTGAGGCAGGAGATTCACTTGAACCTGGAAGGCAGAGGTTGAGGTGAGCTGAGATCGTGCCATTCCACTCCAGCCTGGTCAATAAGAGCAAAACTCTGTCTCAAATAATAATAATAATAATAATAATAATAATAATAATAATTGGGGACATTAATGCTTAGAGACAAAAGAGTTTACATAACTTATTCAAGGTCATATATTAGAAATTCGCAATGACTTCCAATGTGAACCTATACCTGTCTTGATCCAAAACCCATCCTCTTCACACTCTAAAACTGAATGAATACTCAGACCAAGTATTATGGAAAGAGAGAAACTAAAATAAGTGCAGTGGAGAGCTATTCTATTTACTTGAACTCTTGAATTATCAAAATACTGGCCTATGAGAATGATACATCTTTAATTCAGACACTTTTCTAATTGTTTCATAATTGTAGTGATTTATTGTATGTCTATATTTCATTGTCAAACACTTACATACATTAACTAAAGTGGAATAAGTAACAAATACAGTGACTTGAAAAAGAAAAGTGTAATTAAAAACAACATCAACATTGTTCAGGACTTTTTCTCAAACTCATTTATTACATATCGATTTTCCAGTCTATTCCATAGCACTGTTAATCTCTCTACATACAATGGCTGAAAATCTCATCAGCAATATTTCAGGAATCAAGAAATGACTAAATGGAATTATTCCTTTTTTGAAAACATTTTACATTCTTCCACAGTCTCTCAGAACTATAAAGCAAAGAATAAATTTTATCTTTACCACACCTCTGGGTGGTTTCTTGAGTATGTCTCGAGTCCTATATTCTTAAGCATTTCATTTTTCCCCCAGGTTTATAGCAACAAAACAACAAAAGTTACTAATGAAGAGTCCCACAAAGAAAAAATGTTGACTCTTTAAAAAATAATAGAATTTCCTTTCTTTTAGATTTACTTTCCACCCAAAACTTGGATTGAATTAGCCTTTCTCTAGGGGAAGAAGTGAAAAACCCATTACCACAGTCACTCTATGTCTGAAAGCCTATAAAAAATTGGATGCTTTTTGGAATATTTTAGAAGGATAATTTGTGGTTTAAAAAAAAATATTTAAACAATCTGCTATCTGCACATCATGTTTTTGCCTGCAATTGCCCATAACAAGGTGTGTATATATATGCATGTATGTGTGTGCCTATAAACGTGTGTGTGTGTGTGTGTGTGTATCTTACAACATGATCCAAATGTTTTCATTTTACCTTCCCACATGATTGAAAACAAACCATCCTGTTATAAACATTTAAATATAGAATAAATATTGCTCTGCTAAAATATAATTCTAGATAAAAATTAGAATTTTCAAAGCTGCACATTCATCAAATTAATGCAAATATGACAAGCTTTAAATTTAAAAAGCAGCACTAGACAGAAAAAAAAAAAGGTCAGAATTATAATGGGCCCTACAATGGCTCTAAAAAAGTTAGGTTTTCCCCTAAAGCCAATTACTTCTCATATTAGACTCATACCTTTTCAAACTAACACTTGAACTTAAAAAAATATATAAATGGGAATACATATTGGAAAAATTCCATCAACTCTACCAAAGTCTATTAGTTAAAATATTTCCATTAAAGTCAAATTCTAAAAAAGCCCTGACTGCAAGAGAATTATATTTTCTCTTAAACACAATTTAAGAGAGAAAAGAAGGCAGAGAGAAATAGCAAGAAAAAAAGAGGGGAACACAGTAGCATGAGAAAGGAAGGTCATTTTAGAAGAGGAAAAAGACAAACAAATGTCAAAATAAATTGTAGAAATTCCTGAAAAATAAAAAGCATTTCAGCATAATATCAAAATGTGAGTGCCATCATATCAAATGCAGTAGAGGGGTAAATGAGCTGTAATGTATTATGGTTATACATATCAAAGCAATGTAATGCCATCTGCATGTAAAATAGCAGCAAAACCCATAGTTGACAGAAGTGCTTACCTGCAAGGAATTCAGAGCATCCATGATCACCTCTGCTTTTATTTATCAGTTTAATATGACTATATACTAGGTAGCAGTATTCTATTTGTTAAAATTTAAAAAAAAAACTAAATTAAATACAATTTGTTTAAATTAAATAGTGGTTGCTAATTCAGGTTCCAGAGTTAGACTCCATAGATTTGAAGTTCTAGTTTCTCATTTAACCAGATGTACAGACAAGGGCAAGTTACCTAAACCGTCCAAACCTCCCTTTCTCTTAAGTGGATTTAATCCGAGTAACTAAAAAATAGGGTTGTTCCAGAAGATAATGGAGACACTAAAGTACCATGTATACTACAGTACCTATACTATAGTACTCAATAAATATTAGCCAGTAATATACTAACAACAACAAAAATAGCTTGTCATAGTGAAAAACTCAAATTCCAGTCCTCTTGACTCCAAGGGCTGTCTCTCTTATAAGACTTTTTTTTTTTTTTTTTTTTTTTACAGAGACAATGGAATAACACCACTCATTCTCTCACCATGACTGTGCAATAGATTTAGTGCCTTGTTCTAAAAAATGCAAAATGTTGTTTCATAAAACTTTTCATAATAATAATCTGACTACCAGACATTAAAATCCTATTATAATTATATATTAGGAAACTAATTGAAAACATAAGGTGCAATGAGAATGCATGATTACTTTTAATTTTTCCATAGAGTCCTTGGAGAATGTTTTACAAGCTGCATCAATTTCCTTTCCTATCACACCAAGAATGGATTCCTGTTCAGTCTCCAAGCAAAGAAGTTGATCCTTGAGCTGCAATCTGGCCTCTTCGATCCTCCTTAAGTGCTCTTCTTCAAAGCTTATATGTTTTTCCTAAGGCATTGACAAGAAATTAAACAAGTTGATTAATATTAAGTGGAAACAAGAAATACTTGAAATATCTGTTCAACTAACTAAAAGAAGTGGATTAGAAAAGAAATCTGACTCCATCAGTCCCATTACTTTACTAAAATAAAACTTTAATCTACTCATTAACTGAGGCAAAATGACAGAGTTCCGTAGTAGGGCAGTTTGGGAACTGGTGAGCAGATACTTAGCAAACAAAATCATAGTAATTTTCTAACAAAAAGAAAAAAAGAAGTAGAAAAGAGAATCCTTTCCCATTTTCATAACATATTCTCACTAATGAGAGATTAAAAGCTGATGTCAGGCACTGACCTCAAGCTTTCACTGAACATTAATAAAACACCAGAAAATATAAACTGCTAGTTGATATTTTCTCGTGTTTTATGATGCTAGTTTCTTCATTTGAGGAAAAAAATAAGTGTTACCACCGCTATCTCCTCAAAACATAGTTTTAGAAAAAGTCTAAGTTTTCAAATGCAATCATACCACATAAATGCTTTTGAGTCATGAAAATTTGAAAGAAAGATGGAGGTACTTTTCATCTTGTCATTATATACTTAATGAAAGGGGGTTTCTAAGGAGCTCTTTAAGAGATTACAAGGATTTGGGAACCCATTCTAGGTAAAAACAATTCTAAATCATTATGATTATACAGTTCCTTTACTAGAGAAATTCCAAATGCATAGGGCTTGTAATAAAATAACAAAATCACTAGAATTGTATGTCTAAATGGTGGACCAAAGCCATGACGGCTGGCTATGACACCTTCAGTCATCACACTGTAACCTAATCATCTTCATCTGGCCTCTTAAATATGACAAAACCAGGGAAATTATGTGAGCAACAAACACAACCTGAATTGAAAAGAAAACAAGGAAATCCACTTATTAAGAATTCTGAAAAGCAGACTGATATTTTACTAAAAGAAACATAAATGATATTTCCCTTCAATTCAACTTACTTTAAAAACAAATGAAATATCCTCTGCCAGAAAGGAAAGACCCTTTCATAATCTATCTTCTGTACTTCTCTCTTGCCTCATCTTCCTCCTTTCCACTCTCTCAGAATTTGACGATTTACAGCAACTTACATCTGCCTACATATGTCTCCCCAGACCACATCTGAGTTGCACAAGTTGGCCTGAAGTTGTGCTACTTCAAAATGGGGCTGGTAGCCAAGAGACATTTATCTTGAGGAGTTTGCCTTAGTCCATCATCCGGGTCTGGATCTCAGCTTTGTAAACCTAGGAACTGAAATTTATTTTTGGTACTCAGAGTGGTACTTTCAGCAGCAGAGTAACAATAAGGTCACGAGATTAATGTGTATGAACTAGAAAGCCACTTAATTAACTACATTCGTTTAGGATGAGAACAATGACTACCATATGAATCAGAATGTCCGTGTCAGCATAGCCAGTACATTTACTCTCTATAGACAGATCTAGATGGGAAGGCAAACTATAATCAGACTATTGGTTAACGAACAGGAAATTAGAGCAAGGGGACTTTCTTTCATGAAACAATGTTTAAACAGCATCGGGCTAATCAAAGTACAGCATGTTCACCATGCATCAGGAATTTATGAACCACAGTAACAGGGGTACTGCATTCTTCTAGGCAGTGTTTGCGTGGAGGGTACTGAGGTACGTCTCCCTTTCTTCTTCTTCCACATTGAGTTTCTATCCAAACTTCTCCTACCAATTGATATTAACACATCATTTCTTTAGATGTCTTGATATTTTCCCAAGTCTTGCTAACATTTAGGACTTTTAAAAAAATTAACATCCCAGCTCTGAAAAGCATTTGATAATTGTATCATTTACTCATTAGAAAGCAACCTTATTACTAGGTGATACTCGCCTCCCTACTGTTCCTATGTATCTACCACCTATATCTTCTTATCTTTCTAAGTTTATCCTTTAAGATGCTGTGTCCTTTCTTCCTGGACTCCCAAAGCAAATCATTTCCATTGCATGTTAGGTATATCACAATTTTAAATTTTTTTTTTCAAAATGTAATATAACTATTTGTTTGTATCCAATCTCCCCCAATAAACTGCTAATTTTGGGAGTCCACAAAACACTTTTTTAATCATTTTAAAACTCCCCCACTTTGCTGAATAAATGATTTAAACATTTTCTGAAGACTCAAATTCAATATGCCAAAGATGATTTCATAATGTATCATGCAAAGCTTATAACCTCAGAGGTTACTAAGGTGTGCTAGGAGGTTTCTCCCACACATACATAAGGCTTCCTGATGGTGCAGTATTTTCACGGTCTGATATTAATAAAGAAAATAAATACCCTATCAGGGGCTACTGACGTATTCCAAGACTGCCCATATCTTACATCTAAGCAATTCAAAATAATGTTATAATTGATCTTTCTTTTCTCATTTCCCTCGTAGCCGTCTCTCTTTCCTCCACTACTACTTTTCTGTGGTTTTCATTACTTGTCTCTTATAATAAGAAGACAGAACTATTTCAATCTTTTGATATTCTTGAGAATGGTGATATTGTCCGAAAAACCTCTGTAAGTTCAGTCTCTAGAAAACATAGAAAACTTCATTGTCCATTTACTGTCCTCTGTGGGAGGGTCGCATGCTATGTCCAAGCTCTCTTTGAGTAAAAGCTATAGGGCTATGGGTTCACATGACCTTAGAGATCGGTAAGTTCAACTACTTGCTCCTTCAGGATTCCCTTATTTGGCATTTTTGACAAATGAGCCATCCAACCTCTAAATGAACATCTCAAGTGTCAAGGAACAGAGTACCTGACAAAGCTGGAAACTCTCTCCATCAGTGTCTGAGAAATATGCAACAATTAAAGTAAACAAACGAATCTGCCACCCCAACTAAGCCTTCTAAACTTCCAGGTAAAAATTTCTGTTCTTTTCCCCTATATTTTATTTGATTAGGTTTCAGACACATAGTGGTCTCCATTGTCTGCTTGTACTCCAAGATCCTAAATCTAAGAGTTAAGTAAGCTCTTTTATACCAAAAAAAAAAAAAAAAAAATACTTCAGCAATTGTAATTTCATTTTCATTCATTCCCTCATTCAACAAATATTTACCTAAGGCCTAGTCTAGACATGACATTCTTGTGTGTACTAGAGATGGAGTAAGTGATTGCTTCTTGGCCTTCTGGCTAAGATCAAGTGTGGAGATAGAGTGAATGACACAGACAGGCAGGCTCCTACCCTCATGGAGTCAACAAATATTTCTATGAAATGTCATTACTTCTGTATCATTCTTCTGGTTTGGGCATATTTATTTGAAGAATAATTACGGTACCCAATGAATTAGTGCTTTCTCCCAGTTTCATGTTTTAGAAATAGATGTGCTGACTAAGTAAACACAGCTAATTCTGAAGGAGGGGTGGGACCAGAAATTGGCCAAAGTTAATCCAAGTATCCTGTGAGATTTAGAGGCATTCAAATAAGTAAGGGCAGATGATAATATTTAGGCAAGATTAAGGCTATTCTCTGGTCTTCTGGTCAATTTAGAGGGGGCAAATATCCCGATTCCACAAGATTAACAAAAAGCTACCATAATTTCTAGAGAACCAGAGGCAAAATGTGTTATTTTAGAGAATGCTTAGAAATACAGAGACACAATCTAACACAATTAGGGTGAATGGACACAGATGCCTGGAGCTTAGGGGATGTATATAACTTCTTTTGGAGAGCAGGAAGGAAGGCAGATTAAGCTGACTGCAGCGGTCTATGAGATCCAAGAAGAAAGGTATCCTAGACAATGGCTGAGTCTGAAAAAGAACCTCAGGGAATAAACCAACCCCTAATTTTACATTTTAGGTAACTAAAGCTCAGACAAAGTAACTTGACTAAAGTGAAAGAACCTACTAAATACAACCCCATAACCTGATCCCCTGACTAGTATTCTTTCTTAAAATGCTAGAAAGACCAAGGCCTTAACATTAGAATTTAGAAAAACAATGTGAAAAATTCAGAAAAGATTTCAGCAGGTTATGTGGGGACTAATGTAGTCCTAAAGTAAAAAGAAGAAATCAAAAATTAAATTCTGAATGAGCCTTATCATAAAATGAAAATATATGACATATTGACATATTCCGAATAGAACACAATCAAAAGCACATTGAAAATGCATAATCCCAGACTTTCAGGGGCTATCCATCTATGCTGAAAAGTACCTGTGTACATACAAAATCTGCTTTAGTCCAATTTTCGAAAGTGTGCTAATCGCACACTAAACAAGGTATGGTTCCATCATCAAGACAGCAAAGGTTTTATGAAGGCTCTACTTTAGGACAAGAAAGGCTCATATTGTTGACACTTAAGTATATTTTAGGACAAGAAAGGCTCATATTATCGAAACTTAAGTATAAAGAAAACATAAAACTGCTGACAATCTCATGATAAACACACACACACACACACTGCTGAGTGGTTTGATAAACTGACCCATAATTCAAAAAATAAGAAATGCTTTTGTATTTATAGACTTATGTTTCAGCGTGCTCTTTACAACTGAGAGCATTCACTTTCTTAGAGGCGCTAAAGATCCTAAGGAGATAGATCTTATCAGAAATATAAAAATTTCAATAAAACAAGAGCATGTCCAAAATAGTATCTTTCTGGTAAAAGTTTATGAGATTCCTTCAATGCCTTAAGAGTTCCAGAAATGCCACTTTATTTACAATATGGCTAGTACATGAAATAGAAACAGTTCATTAAACACCTTAAACAGAAATATGATGTTAAATAAAGTACACTGATATGACCAAATAGGTCAGTAATTTACAAAGGTAATGGTTTTCCTTCCCTGAAAACTACTTGAGTAAGCAAGTGTGACAATATTTCAGTCCCAAGGCCATATTTACATACATCAACAAAGGGTAGGGGAAGATAGGATAAAAGGTAGAGAAAGAGAGAAATCAAATAATATTAAAGGCTGAAATTAAAACTAATGGAATGTAAGCAAAGTTAC